CTCGACCTTCTTTTGACAGAAATGGCAGAAATCTTGCATCAAAGAGCAACTTTTACCATCACACATTTTCCATCTATTAATGTAGTTGAATCCTGGCTGAGGTAATAATGGCTCTCATTCTGAACTGCCGCCACAGAATTACTGCAGATCAGGGGCTGTATTACAGTAACTATATCTTTAGTTAAGATCTAACTCAAATCGCCATAGTAACTGATCAGATAAGAAAGGATGTTTCTGTAATACGGCCTCAGAGGACAAAGTTTCTAGTTTTCACCACTTTAGTTTGGACTTGTGGTGTCAGAAATGGGATAATGGGGTTGGTTATCTCAGCATAATTCCACACTAATATTTAAATAGAACATTTCTCAGCTAAAATGAAACCTTATACACTACTGTACAAAATGGAGGGATTGTTAAATGTTGTTGAAATAAGTCTAATGCTCACATGGATGCATTTATTTGATCAAAAATGCATAATAAACTGTAATATTGTGAAATATTATTACAAATAAAATAACTGTTTTCTATTTGAGTATATTGTCAAATGTAATTTATTCCTGTGATGTCAAAGCTGAATTTTCAGCATCATTACTCCAGTCTTTAGTGTCACATGATCCTTCAGAAATCATTCGAAAATGCTGATTTGCTGCTCAAGAAACATTTATTATTATTATCAATGATTTGCAATAGATTTTTTTTAACAATGTAAGTCTGTACAGTTACATTTGATCAATTCAATGCGTCCTTGCTGAATAAAAGCATTCATTTCTTTATTTTTTTAAAAATCTTATTGACCTCAAATAATCAATTCAATGCATCCTTGCTGAATAATGCATTATGTAGTGCATAATTAGTGCATAATGTATTAGAATAGTGCATTCATTTCTTTCTTTAAAAATAAAAATCTTATTGACCTGAAATAAATTATTCTACAATAGGCTATTCCACTGACATCACATCCTGCTATTGGGGCATGTTGTCACCCTTGACAACATTTTTTTAAATAATAGTCAAAATTATACTGGACAGAAATGGTGGAAATGTTGAATAGCTTTTTTTAAAACAAGACTTTAAGGTGTGTGTGCTCACTCTGAAAGATAATGTGTGACAACTTGCCCCGGCCTCCTTTCTCTAATGTCTCACCATCTCTCTCAGTCGCTCTCTCTCTCCTATACCCCTCGGCTCTAGTGGTGTTTCTAGTAGAGACAGACAGATATGAGACGGAAGGCATGTGGCCCGTTGTGTCCTCATTACGACTTCAGAGCTGTGACGTAACCGTACAGCCAGGAATTCAATCACGTTTTCACTCCCTAGTGATGCTGCCACTGCTTAAGGGGAGCAGGAGAGCGTTCCCAAACGCTACATATGTGTTATTTAAACATTATATAAAGACTACAGAAGTGTAATCACATTATGGCATCTACAGGAGGAGGAAAAGGATGCTCAGTTTTGGAAAGAAAGGATACTGTCCTATCATCAGTTCTTCTCACTATCATCAGAATCAATTATTTAATAACTGCACACTGATTCTTGTTCCAGTGCTTTTTTTGTTGGTTATAATAATAATAGCAACCATAGTGTAAATAATTAAATGTTTGCTTATATTTTCCAGATAGAACATGCATATTGTTGAGCTTTTTGATTCATATAGGATAAAACTGTGTAAAAGCAGTACTGAAGACTGAGCGTCCCCTTGTGGACACTTGGGGAAATGCATTTGGGTAGATGAATAACATCAAGATTTAGGTCCAGACTCTTTACTAATAAACATTCGAAAACTGCTAAACTGTAAAAACAATATATGATCAATAAGTTATGACAACATGTGTGTTTTACATTGCTTTAACTGGTCAAAATAGGTTAAGCAATATTAAACTTAGTTATACAAGATTCAACTCTTTTTTTTAAGTCAGTCTAATGTAATTTAAGTTGAAATGACTTAAACATCCAAGTTGATTGTACTCAAAAATTTAAGGCAGCAACTTTTTTTTTACAGTGAATTTCACAAATAATTACAAACAATAGAACATTATAAACCCGAACTTTTAAAGTAGAAAGACTTTAAATAGTTACAATTCGATTAAATTTTTTTTTACAGTGTATTCATATTTTTCCATATTTTTCCACATCACAACACCTGTAGTTAGATGCAATAAACGTAAAAGATGCAATTGCATTCAACTGTTGATGGAAAGTATTTGCATCTCTATTTTTAACTAACAAAAGCACAAGCAAAACAAGCATATTACCATATGGAGTCAATGCAATCTTGCTTCCTCAGGGACCGGTTTACTTCCTATCTTTTGAAAGGGCACACTTGAATGAATTATTCCATGAAAATAGCTAAACTGTGTTAGATTATCTTGGATAAAAAATGAAGTTATACCAGCCCTATGGAAAGGTTTCCAGAAACGAGATGATGACAAGAAATCACCAAAAACTGTCAACGCAACGCATTCACAACACCACCCTTTATATATAAAACTCTCACAGGCCTATAGCAAGTTGAGATGGACTGATGTGAAGAGTGAATTTGAGCTTTCTGATAAGCTATAATCTGAAATCACTCTAATGTGACTCCATTAAAATACAATTTGAGACCCGGATCTGACCCAGCGTGTGGGCCATAAGTCAACATACAATATTCATATTCAGGGGATAAAGATTAAAGAAAATCACATAACCCTTGGGATATTACTTATTACAATAGTAAGCGTGTAAGAAACGGACCTTTCTAATTTTGCAAGTATAGAAAATGGCTGACTTTAGGACCTGGTGACTTCAGGATTTGGGTTGGGTGTCTTTTTATTTCTCAATTCCCAAGTCTATTTCATATTGACCTCCACCAACATTCTGCATGAAATAAAAAAAAGCCAAGTGAAAAATGTTTAGAATGTCAAAACAGTCCAGATCATCCCAGTGTGGTTATTAAGACCAGGTTCCACTTAGGTTCTACATGAAGGTTCCAATTAGAACCTAAGTGGAACCTTTTACTTTGAATTTCCAACCATCAATGGAACAAAGAAGCTAAATATGCTAATACGGGAAATATGCTAATACGGGACAGTCTGTCAGTGGTCGTGGGCGGAGCATGAGCAGTATGACATCATATTGCTCAGAAAATCCAAACGGCTTGATAATTGGGAGTGTTTAGGCTTTTTTAGGATTAAAAGGATTTGAGTGAATGGATTTTTTTTCATTGTATGGTGGTTGTGTCCACACACTGCAAAGACACATTTATATGCAAACACCACATAAAAGTGAATTTTGCATCCGATGACCCCTTTAAATCACAGTATTACCAGGCTATGACACAGCCATGCCACTGCTCTCCAAGACATTACATCTGACTCGTGTTATGTCCTGGCAGGGCCAGTGTAATATTTTGGTAACCCTAGGCATTTAATGAGCCTGGTTGCAATAAGACAGTCATCTTAAGATTCCCAAGAGTCGTCCATTTATAACACTGACAGGTGTTGCATGAAATTCGCCCTTTTACTTCAGCTGGTAGGTAAAGAGTCTGAAGAATTGACATCTGCTGGGGCTATCTTGCCTGGTTAGCGCGTTGTATTAACATCTAGAAGAAAAAAAAAATCTGTATGTACACTAGTTCAAAAGTTTGAGGTCGGTACGATTTTTAATGTTTTTCAAAGAAGTCTCTTATGCTCACCAAGGCTGCATTTGTTCGATTAAAAATACAGCAAAGTTAAATTGTCATTTATTCCTGTGATGTCAAAGCTGAATTTGAAAAAAGAACAGCATTTATAAAAATAAAATAAAAAAACGGAAATCTTTTGTTACATTATAAACGTCTTTACTGTCAATTTAATGCATCCTTGCTGAATAAAAGTATTAATTTCTTTCTTCAAAAATCATTCAAAATAAATGGGCCTGATTGAGAACGCCATCAACTTATGACCTTTAATTCATAGGGGTATTCATTAATGTTTTATGTCAGTCTCTCTCTGGCAGACTGTGATGGTAAAAATAAAATAGGCCTTTTAATGATCAGGTCACATCTATAGGTTTTATTTTCAGCGCAAATGGATGTAAGACGATAGGTCACTGCTGAGGTCACAGAGTGCCCTTTTTATGCATTTATTAGAGGATGTCTTTAAAAGTAGATTAGTGTGTGTGTGTGTGTGTGTGTGAGTGAGAGAGAGTGAGTGAGTGTAAAGAGCAAGAAAACATAGAGGCCATAGTGAAAAAAATCTATGAGAAGTGATTAAATCTATGAGAAATTAACATCTGGTACCTGAACGTGAGCATATTAATCTTTATTGGAGCAGGTCGGTTCATTCGGCGGCCATCTTGGTTGGCTATTTTCTATGCATGCAAGACCAGCTCCAATGTACTTTATGGGGGGGAAAACAGAAATGTCCAAAACATTGAAAAAATTTGGTTTCTTTACCTTATATCACACTGAAAAACTCATTATATTTGTTCATTTGTTTAAGCGAGAGCTTATGCTAGTAAAAAAAATAAAAAAATAAAAAACAGGTGAAGCCTCTTTCAGAAAGGCTCTTAAAAAGCTGTCAAATTGATTTACCCCAAACAATTTTCTTCTAGTGATCTAGAAGCCCATTTCCACCACATAAGAAAAAAATCAGGCTTTGGTAAATCATACGTATGGCATACTTAGTCATAATTATGGGATTGCAGTCAAAATTATGAGATAAAAAGCAGAAATTATGACTTTCTATGTCATAATTGACTTGTCATAGTTTCAACTTTTTACCACTTAATTGAATTAGTATGTCATATTTATGACTAAGTCTGTCATAATTCTGAATTTATCTCACAATTTCAACTTATGTCATAATTTTGACTTTTTATGTCATAAGATTTAGCAAAAAAAAATTTATTTTTATTTTACGCCAACACACGAAATTTTAGGTGTGTATACAAATCTTTAGAATCCAATCTGACAGACATTCTGAAAATCAGAGAAAGCTGTTTTATGTGATGTGTTCCAGAACCGTATCTATGACATCACATGCTCAAGACGAAGAGAAGGAATGAAAGACCCCAGCAGACGGCTCAGGCTTAGACGCGGTGTCCTCAGTCTGGAGCTGTCGTCTTTCTCTTCCTTGCCTCTCATGCTCTGTTCCCAGGAGCTCTGACAGTTGACACTTCAGCTGATCACACAGGGCAGAAAGGCTGGTCTTCTCCTCCTCTAGAGTCTAGACACAGCACATAGAAAATTCAATACATTTAAACATGAATAAATTGACTTTTGTAGTTCCAGAAGACAATATGAGTAGTGCTGGCCTGTGCAAAAGTCAGTGGCACAACGCTAGGCTGCTGTGGGTGTTGCTATGGTGTTCTGTGAGGGTGCTTGAATTTTCTGGGTGGTTGCTTTTGAAATTTTGGACTATCGCCTCTTATATAATATATTGCTCATTGTAAAAAATGATATGATCAATTAGTCATGGCAACATATTATGTTTTTTACATTACCTCATGCAATTATTTTAAACAAATTAAACTTATATTTGATTATTTTTTTCAGTTATTCAGTTTAATGTAATTTGAAATGATTTGAAAAATGTAAAAAAAACTTAAGGCAGCAACTGAACTTAAGTTTTTTTATTGAAATAGTTTTTTTTTTTTTTACAGCGTAGTTCATGTTAACTAATGCGATAACTAATGATAACAAATGAGACCTTATTGTAAATTGTTATCATAACTTATAATAATAATTAAGTTCAGCAGCAAGAAACATCTCACTGATCAAATCAATCCGCTCTGCCTCTTACCCTGCTGATGAGCTGGCTCCTTTCGTCCACCAGGGCGGCGCTGTGCTCTCTAAGCACCTCCGGGTCCTGTCGGCACACGTCTCTCCCCTCCGCTGTCTCATGCATCAGCTCCATTATCTCCTCCTGCCACTGTTGCACCTCTGTCAACATCAAGTTCCATTCCTCTTCCTCCTCCTCCTCTTCTTCTTCATCACCAACATTACCTTAGGGATGCACCACCCCTTTCTTCTCATTTTTCAAGGGCAATTCAATGATGTCCTCTGCAGCTGAGCTGTATCCCCTCCCTGTCCCAGATGACGCATCCAGCCCGATCTCATGAAAGTGCGTATCTATACCACGAATTAAATTTTTTCGTGTCATTTATACGCCAAAAGTAGTTTTTGCGTGTTTATGATACGCAGTTTTTCGCGTGCATATGATACGCATTATTTAGCGTGTAATACGCACGCACTCCCCATCCCTAATCCTACCCAAGAGATTACAGTGCGTAGCATATGCACGCAAAAACCATTTTTGGCGTATAAATAGCACGATAAATTAAATTCGTGGTATAGATACGCACGTTCATGAGATCGTGTTGGACGCATCTCTTTCAAAAAGTTTATTTTTGGGTGAACTATCCCTTTAACTCATGCAGTTACCTTATATTGCCCAATGCCCTCTACTTTGTTAAGTAAGCATGCTGTAATTACATGTAAGTGCATGTACAGTAAAATAAAGTCCAACCGAAATATGTATGAATAATCACCAGTTGTATTATTCCTACCTTCTTAGAGACCTGGCGACAGCGGTCAGGTTAATGAGGGGCAAAGGCGACCTCTCAGCTGAAGACAGTCCTAACCTAAAATGAATACTAGTTATAGTTGACCAAAAAAAGAAGAAATTGCTGTCATTATTTACTCACCTTCATGTCGTTCCAAATTTTTTTCTTCTATGGAACTCAAAAGAAGATATTTTGAAAAATGTCTCTGTGACATGGTGGGCAAATGAGGACTAATCCTTTAAGGAAAGTAAATGTGCCATTTTGAAAAGGACAATTGAGTCTCTACCTTTAAATACATTTAAAACATGTTAAACTAAATGTTTGGGGTTGGTAAGATTTTTTTTGAAAGAGAATTGTATTTATCCTAGAATAATTTTTGATGAATCATGTAACATTAAAGACTTCATGAGTAATGGCTGCTGAAAATGAAGCTTTCAGCCATCATAGAAATAAATTACATATTAAAATTTCAAATGGTAAATGGTAGAGTACATTGTTTTATAACTCGTCCTAACATGCAACTTGATAAGTTACAGTAAATACACTGAAAATGTATAACACTCAAGTTTGTTGTTCAGTTAGTTCACACAGATATCACCATGGCAGAAAACACTATCGCATGCTCAAATGTTGTATTTTTCAGCTGAGAGAAAACTAGATGAAAACACACTGATTGACATGAAAAGCCTAAGTGTAAGGGGCCTCTAATGAGGCATGTCATTAACACAACCAAAAGCCACATCAGAGTGTCTTCAAACTAAGTGGTAAGGCGATTCAAAGCTATTTTAGTATGGCTTTTATGTGGCATACTGGCATTGCATCTTTACCAGACAAAACAGAGGCTGGTGAACGTCTGGGTGCCTGACTGGTTGTTAACGCTCCTGGTCGCTCTTGAGCTCTAAAAGGAGAAGACAAGATTCTAATATTGCTTTTTGATGAATAATCAATTTGCATTGGCATCTGGGACACAGGATATTTTATTTGCTTAATTGCTTTAACACCTTCAAGATATTTAGAGTATCATAATATCTATCCAGAACTTCATAGAGTTCAGGTTTGTCTTAAAGGGATACTCCACCCAAAAAATGAAAATTCTGTCATCATTTACTCACCCTCAAGTTGTTGCAAACCTGTATGAGTTTCTTTCTTCTGCTGAACACAAAGGAAGATATTTTGAAGAACGATTGGAACCAAACGGTTGTTTGGCACCATTGACTTCCATAGTAGAAAAAAAAAAAATACTATAGAAGTCAATGGTGCCAAAGTTCCAATCGTTCTTCAAAATATCTTCCTTTGTGTTCAGCAGAAGAAAGAAACTCATACAGGTTTGCAACAACTTGAGGGTGAGTAAATGATGACAGAATTTTCATTTTTGGGTGGAGTATCCCTTTAAAGCATATTAAAAACACCACATAGACATATAAACAACATTAAAAACTTGATTTTCTCACAGGGGGACTTTAACAGTAACAACACAGCTTTTGTGTTCCACCGAAGAAAGAAAGTCATTGAGGTTTGAAACAACATAAGGGTGAGTAAATAATGACAGAGGTTTTATATTTGGGTTTTATAACTATTCCTTTAAATAAGCTAGGTTTTTTTGTGTGTTACTGACAGGTTAATAATGACATGGTATACTGTGCACTTTGGTTCCTCTTTCTTTCGTTTGTAGCGGATTTCGTTCCAGTACTCCTCCAGCTTTATGCTGAGGTTATGCATGATCTTCCTGTATAAAATAGTGCCTTTCCATCAAAGTAGCCCAAGGGCATCATTTGGGCTAAATGCCGGTAGAGTGATAAACAGCGTTTGTTCACCTCACCTGTATTTATCGGTGTCATCAAAGTCTTGTTTGTTGTGCGTGGGCTGAAGGAAATTGCACTCTATAACACCAATAACTCCCACACCTTTTCTTTCAGCCTGTTATAAAAGCAAACCACAGCTTTTAGTATTGAATTGATGGGTAAAGGAAGCAGAAGAAACATGCAATAATTTGTGGTTACCTTACATTGGCAGCTCACTTTCACGTACGGCTTTATCAGCCTGTTCTTATGATACATCATAATCCCCTAATGCTCTTTGCTTTTGGTGTTGTGATGAAGGTGATGATGTTATATGTGTGCACTCCAAAAAACAATCTATTTTGTAAAGACACAAGGAATGACGGCATGTAGTTGTACTGCACAATATAAGCCAGACTCTTGGATATCAGCTGGCTCTTCACTCTTTACCCTCGAATAATGATTTGCATGAGAGGCTTCAGATATAAGATGCTACAGTATGCCTACATTACAAAAACATAAAGAATCAATCATGCACCTAAACCATCTTTTTTTCAACTCCTCCCTTCCAATTGACATATTTACCTCTTTAGAGTTCTTGCTATTTATAGAATTGCATTCCACATTATTGTGAGATGTGCTATGCTCACCTGTAATGAATATTCACTTTCTGGAGTCACATTCCTGATCAGAATGTCATATTTATCTGTGTCAAAGTCAAATTCAGTGTCACCAATTGTGGTCCTTAAAAACACATAATTTATACATTAGAGTACAAAAGTTCGAGGTCGGTAGGATTTTTACAAATGTTTTTGAAAGAAGTCTCTAAGGCTCACCAAGGCTGCATTTATTTTATCAAAAATACAGTAAGGCAGTAATATTGTGAAATATTATTATTGCAATTCAAATTGTTTTCTATTTTAATATATATATTTTTTAAACGTATTCCTGTGATGCAAAGCTGAATTTTCAGCTCCATTACTCCAGTCTTCAGTGTCACATGATCCTTCAGAAATCATTCTAATATGCTGATTTGCTGCACTTCTTCTTATTATCAATGTGGAAAACAGTTGTGCTGCTTGATTTTTAATGCAAACCATGAGGCAATATTTCAGGATACTTCAAAAGAAAGTTCAAAAGAACAGCATTTATTTAAAGTAAAAATCTGTTGAATCCTTATAAAAGTCTTTACTGCCACTTCTGGTTGATTTAATGTGTCCTTGCTGAATAAAAGTATTAATTTTTTATTTTTTTACTCATATTGACCTAAACTTTTGAACGATAGTGTACATCAGATCATCACGGGTGATGGTCTGGATACACCCTTTATGCATGTATCCAGTGAGAGGGGCGGAGCTTACGTGCGACGGTTCCGGGTGATGATGCGTGTTCCTGTCTGTCCAGCAGCGCTGATGGCGTGGGGCTCTGGCTGCGAACAGATCTCTCTCTGAGCTGAAAAGAGAGTGTGTGAAGATCCGGCTCCATCCTCCACGTTGGTTAAGGCTATGTTTACACGGAAACGATCTGAAGAGAAAACGCAAAAGTGGCGTTGCGTTATCACTTTTTATTCTGCGTTTAGACGAGCGTTATGGTTGGGAAATCCGCGTGCATATGGTGACGCAAAAGTGTGTGAAATTCGATGTAGTATGCACTCCAGGCAGCTAGGTGGCAATGTGAAGCACTGCCACACAACAACACCAATATCTTAGAATATTTTGTACAAATGCTGAAAAGACTCTTGTATGTTTTTCAGAGCTGCTAGGGCAACTTGAAGGTCCGACCTATGGAAATAATCTGACATGTTAGGTTGTTATTTTCCTGTACTGGCCCATGCATGTGACGTAAACGCGTACGCGACGAGAGCCACCGTGAGCAGATTTGCGTTTTTACCGTTTAGACGGGAACACGACGGTGGAGCGTTTTTAAGATTTCCACTCTGGAGGGTGGTTTCACTTTTTTGCGTTTTTAAGCCCCCAAAACGCCGTTGCCGTGTAAACGAAAGGCACATCCGATAAAATATTTTTACGTTTTCACCCGGAATCGTTCTCGTGTAAACGGGGCCTAAATCAAGCGTCAGATGTCAAGAGTTCAGTGTATGTCAAAGCTTAGGAAATGCATGCATATAACATACAAATTGGGTTACACTTTATTTCAATTGTCCATTTTAGACATATAAGTAACTTTGCAAATACATGTCAACAAACTCGCATTAGAGTATTAGTAGTCTGTTAGGTTAGAGGTTAGGTGTTAGGGTTCAGGTTAGTCTCGCGTAGCCAGACCTTCAGACTGACGGCTGAAGGTCTGGAATTCATAGCAGCTTTCTTTGGCCAAGGCCCGCCCATAGGGCCGTTTGACCGACATGTCAAACAACCAATTACAGTTTGTTTCGTTCAGCGTCACGTTTCGGGGCGTGGAAATGTCCCCACAACAACAGACCGGCGTGCAACAAGTCAGTCAGCATAGAAAAACTTCAAGAGTCTATGCCGTGAACCTCGCATACTTTTGAGAATCCTACGTTTAGCTGATCTTGATAAATGCTCATTGTCACTCATGTAAACACAACAGTTTTTGTTCCGCAATCACACGTCTGCGCTTTGTTTCCCGGCGGACCGAAAATAAACGCGACACTCGCGCCCCCCGGAAATCCGATAAAATTCAACCAATCAGATGACGACTTCGACATTCCTGAAGTGTTTCCAGTTAAGTGTACCATATGCATCAGACGTTTAGCCAACGTTCCGTGGGCGTGACGTCTGAGGCTGAGACTAGGGTTCAGGTTAGCAGAATAAGATGACAAAATTAGTTGCAAAGTTACTTATAGTCAGTAGAATGTCTGTTGGGGAGCATCAAAATAAAGTGTCAGCAGATATTAAGCAGACAGTCTACTAATACTCTAATGACTGTTAGTTGACATGTAGTCGCAATTGTGAGTAGAATGTCTAAAGTGGACCATCGAAAGTGTAACCACAAAAAAAACCTTTGCACTATCTGTAATAAAATTGAAAGCAATGCTGAAGAAGAGTACCGGTTATGTCCATCACATCTAAACGTGATCATGGCCACCAAGACTCGCTGAGCTCCGATGGCCTCGAGGTAAGACTGGGACTGGAGTCCCACACTCATTGTGTCTCGGGTCTTCGTGAAAACATTGGCATCTTTTCCCAGACGCATGGACCCTGATTTAAACCCATTGCTGTAAACACCGACTGGAATGTGAAATTTCGCTGCTTTCTTCTCGCTGAAACCAAAGCTTAAAAACATCAGGAAAATGTGTTAATATTATATATACACAAATGTTCAAAATTTCCAATAAATTGTGTTTTACACTTTCGAACAACATTCCAATCAGCCAATCAGATTTGAGAGACAAGTTTAGGGTTTATGTCAAGTTTAGGCTTACAACCAGGGTCAGGTGCTTCTACATCACCTCTCATTTCCCTCTGATTTTAGGGATACGTTATGGGTAGAGTTAGGTTTAGGGGTAGGGATAGGGTTAGAACTACATTTTCGGGCAGATCTGTTGTTCCAGGGACAACAAAATATTGACTGACCCAGGAAATCAGCATATTAGAATGGTTTCTGAAGGATCATGTGACACTGAAGACTGGAGTCATGATGCTGAAAATTCAGCTTTGCCATCACAGGATTAAATTACATTTTAAAATATATTCAAATAGAAAAGTTACTTTAAATTGTAAAAGAAAAAAGAAAAAGACTGTTTTTACTGTATTTTTTATCAATTAATTGCAGCCTTGATGAGCGTAAGAGACTGATCAAAACTTAATAGATCACCTGGTCAAAAGTTTACAGCTCCATTCATTCGCAACTCTATGGCAAGATAAGTATAGTAATTACAAGAAGCCAATTAGGTGTTGTTAATTGTTCTGGCTTTGGGCCCTATGCTCAGTGTTGGTTTAATGTTATAGGCTTTTAGTGCTAATGACATAAGACCACTGTGAATCCCTTGAATTAAGTGACTAAGAGTTCTTGATTCTCTTGCAATTATAGCAACCAGTAATTACAAGTCCATTTCACACACTTTTCACTTGCTGTACTTAAAATGAATAATAAATTAGCTTAAGTGACTGGACAGGCATGCTGTTGTGCTTTGTACCTGAGCATCTTGTGCAGTCTGGCTCTGGTCAAACCCTCCCCATTATCCATAAAAGAGAGGCAGTCTGAGTCTAGTCATCTGATGCGTGTCCTGTGACAGTCTGGCACGAACATCTGGCTCGACTCGTAAGCATGAAAGTATCTGCAACACAATTCACTTTTCACGAAATAGGCCTAGTATTCGATCAAAACATGAGCATCTGATGCAGTGTTGCCAATTTAGCGAGATTTAGCGCTAGATTTCCCCACAAAAAAAGCTACTAGCCACAAATGTTGCGACTTTTTTTTACTCCTGGGCTGTGTTTGAATTCGTCCCCTAAACCCTCCTTCACTATTCAGTATGTATCAGTCCACTAATATAGTCCACTTGAAGGAGTATTGCCCTATTTAAGAGTATTATTAGGGGCGATTTTGGACATAACCCTACTGTAAATCACCAAAGGATATCATACTCGTTCCGACGTCTGACAGAAAATATGTAAATAACAACATCTTTATCAATCATTCGGCAATATTAATAATATAATACATGTGAGCACGGTTTGGGGCTGTCAGTAAAGTGCCTATTGGCGCATAACATTTTTGAGAAGGCTTTTTCCATTGAAAAATAGTTGGCAACACTAATGAACTGTTTTATATGTTATCATAATGAGGTCTGCCAACATTTCAACATGTTGTCTCTGTTTTAACAAATAAGTCGACAAAAGAGTGATTTAGACAAAAGAACTCACCAATTAGTTCAGCTGAATGGCCAGATGTGGCTTGTGGAATTAGCATGAAGAAATTTTGGACTGATCTACTTAAAGAAAATAGGGTGTTGATAAGGAAAAAAGTAGCATGCTAAAGGATTGCGTTTTGAAAGCAGCATATAGCAAATTATGCATATTATCATATCAATTAGGCCTACTATTTAAATATATTTTTTTAATTATGGATATTGTCAATACAATTTTTTTTTTAAGGTAGAAAGTTATAATCAATTATTATTCAAATATTTTGACATTCTTAAAAATAAAAATAGGCTATGTATTGCTAATAAAACAAAAAAGGTCAAAATTACTGCATTTTTTTCACCTTTTTGAATCCAACAATCATCTATATAGATCATCATAGGCAAATCTATATTGCAGGAAGATCTGTGTTAGATATTGAAGAAAGCTGCTGAGAAGGGTTTGTTAACTAACTATAACTTGCTGTGTCCAGATATTGCGAACACTCTGCTCTTACACTCCTTCACATATTGTTGTGAGCAATAAATGCTGGTATGAATGTGTAACCACTAACCGGACACATCTTTATTTATGTCTTGGAAATGCGACTTATTTCAGCAGGTGCTTTAAATGCTAATATATATTATGTAATATACATGGCGAAGATGTTGGATATTATATAACTTTTTACTTTAACTTCACTACATTTGACAGACAAATATTGTACTTTTTACTCCACTACATTTCTATCAAGGTCCTTGAGAAGAAAGTTGTCAGTCAGGGGATGATTTGGGTGCAGGGGTTGCATTTTGGTTGGAAATGAAAGTCGGGTTGACGTTGGTTTCAATCACAATATAACGTCTGTCCAACGTTGGAGATTAACGTCAATATGATGTTGGATTCTGACATCAACCTGATTTTCATTTTCAACGTTGGGTTTGGTCTTCTAAATGCGAATTTTGTCATTGTTTTGGAGCACACTAGCTTATAGATAACAGTAAGGCTAACATATGTACTAAATGCCAAAAAACTTTAAATAGGGCACTATTTGAGGGAACAGCCATTTGGGTGTCCGGAACCATTGTGGATGTTATTGAGTGCACTTATTCAATCTCACATTCAATTCCACTACTGGAACTGTGTTCTAAAAATAAATTTGATATTGATATGAGGGTAGGCAGGCATAGATTTAAAGGCATAAGGTACTGTAAGTATTACATAAAACAATAACAAAACAATGCATTGACATTTACTTTTTACTTCTGATACTACTTTTAAAAACGAGTACTTCTGTACTTTTACTTAAGTAAAATCTTTACTTTGTTGTGTACTTTGTCCACCTCTGGATATTCTCTTCCAAACCAGTACTTTTCCCCATGGATTTTAAGAGAAAGGAATACAACTAGGTGAGAAAGATCATGGAATTTTATTTATTTCACTTATTTTTGCAAACTTTTCCAGATTCATGAAATTATTATTTATATGTACAACATTCATCAATTTTAACATAAAAAGATGACAAGTTACAATCCACTGAGTACAATTAATTTTTAATTTAGGATTAATTGATGTAGTTGACATTGTATTTGCATTTTGCATCATTAAATATTTAACATACGGTACCCAAGCGGATATTCTAAACTATTGATCTTCAACTTAAGACCACATAAATCCTGCCATATGGATTTTTTTTGAGCACAATATTTTGGTCTGTTAATTTTAACAAAACTGCAGGTTCCAGATGATGATGCATTTTTATGTGTTTGCAGCCATGCATTGCATTTTAACAAAATTGTACTTTAAATATTTTTGGGTATTCTTTTGGTCTATTCAGTAGAGCTTTGATCAAATGTTAAAGCTTTTTGTGTTTTATTTACGATAATAAGAAATTACACAATGCATAGTAACTTTGTGTGTTTTTTGAGTGCCTGAATTCTTAGTTCAGACCAAAACTTTCTAGAACTAGACTGTCTGAAACTGGAGAGGTTAGTCTGAATGTGTCTGAACTTGACTCTATCTTTTCAACAGAAACAAACACAACCTATTTTCTCTTTCTTGCTCTCACCAGGGCTGCACCTTCTTCTCTGAAACAAACTGCCCATGAGGCTCTTTGGCCCCTGAAGGCAGCAATGCCAAGTATACTGGGGTGATGGCGCCCTCATCTGGAGATTTGGTAGCATTTGGTCCAGTCATGTCAGTCCTGACCCATCCTGGACAGCAGGCATTGCATAGGATCTTATCTCCAGGCCTCTCTTTCATCAGATTTCGGGCTAGGATTCTAGTCAGGGTGGTGAGGCCGGTTTTGGAGACCCCATACGCAGTGCTGGGCCAGCCTTTTTCTGAATGAACCCCTTCCTGAGCGTCACGAACGAATCGCTCCATCAGCCCAACCAGTTCTTCCTCTGTGATGTCATCGCTTCGGAAACGGGCCTGGAGTTCTGGACTGGAGCGGCTTAAAGCCACCGAGCCCATCCCACTGGAGACATTCACTAGCCGACCTAGAAGCAAATAAAAGCATTTGAGGGAAGAGAGGAGAAGATAAAAACCACCAGACAAGCAGGTTCTGCAAGGCATAACTGATATATGACTTACCTCCTGGTTTGATAATGGGCAAGAACATATTGCACATATCTCTAGTAGCAAAGAAATTGGTCTTCAGAGTCACTTCTGCTTGGCTCCCAAAGGGAGTTGTGTCCGCCACTGCCATGAAGAAATCAAACATTGTTTTCTTTACACATAACACAAAATTATGACAAAATGTTAACCCATTTAACCTAAACGTTAAGTCATTTTAGACTAAGACATTTTACATTTTGAATTTTTACTTCATCAGAATGGTATAAAACTTGACTTTTGCGTCAAAGATAATAGCAACTTTTCTCATTGAAATCCGATACTTTAACCACTGGTTTCACAGACAAGGCTTAAACTAGTCCCAGACTAAATGCATGTTTGAGTTGTTTTAACTGAAAGTAACTTGCACTGAAATAGGCCAGTGCCATTGTTTTGTCTCAAGATGCACACCAGTAAATGTTTTTTTCTAAGGCACGTTTTTAAACGTTTTAATTTAACTAAAGTCTAATCCTGGCTTAATTTAAGCCCTGTCTGTGAAACCAGGCCTAAGACTTTTTACTCAAGTCGTATTGTAATTTGTGACTTGTAACTTGTAAAGGAGTAATTTTCACTGTAAGGAAAACAACACTCTTGTTTTCTTAACAAATGTCTTTAGTAACTTTTGAAGGCGATCCCAGCGTTGTTGACGAGCACGTCCAGGCCCCCGTACTTCTCTCTGAAGAAGTCCCGTGCGGTACGGATGCTGTTTGGGTCATTGATGTCCAGCTGATGGAAAAGAGGAGTCAGCCCCTCCTTCTTCAGACTGTCCACCGCTGCGGTTCCTAGACCAGCATCCCGGGCTGTCAGGTACACGTCCCCGGCGTACTGTTTGCACATTGCCCGCACGACTGCGAACCCGATGCCTTTATTTGCACCAGTGACCAGAGCTACTTTGCTGTTGCTCATTGCTGTAATGTGTCTACAATGGAAAATAAACTGAAAATAACTGCATATCCTGTGGCATAACAGAAACAACAGCCTAATTAATAAAATAACGAATTTGAATGCATTTGGAAAAACGTATGCATGGTTACAACAAAACACGTACCTGTTCTAGTCCGTCCAGTTTTGTTTTTGCCTGTTTTTAGTGTGTCGCTGCTTACTGCGCATGCGCTGAGGAATACTCTTTCATAAGCATCGCAGTTTGATATTTATGTCATGTGTATCAAGTTTTGCTTGCCGACAGAGCGATGATTATGAGCGCTTTGAATTTTTTTAAACGTCAATATTATTTAAATATTACATACTCTGGTTCAAACTAAGACAATGACGTAACGAAGACCTGAGCACGTGACCCGGTTGTGTTTTTGACCATGTCACATGTGGATGTGTGTTTTGTTTCTAACCGAGGTTTAGAATGAGATTACACCCGAAACAAGCATCATGTAGCGCTGTTATGTGGGAACTTTGAGATGAATAAATCTGGGTGCCGTACTGGGAGAAGAGCGAGGAAAAAAAGACGGAAAAAACACGAGTCACATGTCTCCAAAGGTATTCTGTTTCTATGCTGATATATTGTAACTTTGTAGTACGGTGTGTAAAATGCTTGAATAAATGTTTGGGTGTGTTTTGGTCCTAGTTACTCTGACTCACGAAGCACAGTTTGTTCTTTTGAGGAGATGGCTGAAAGAAAGAGGATTCACCTCACAGTCTCTCATCCCTGTCAACTTCCATGGCAAGTAACCGCTGTAGATAGATAGTTTTCACACTTATGTAGTGATTATGCTAACTTACCGTATATATTTTTTCCTTAGACACTGGAAGAGGGCTTATGGCAACTCAGACTATCAAGGTACTTTTATATATACTGCAGGTCAAAAGTTACTTTAAATTTTTTTTTTTTTTTTTACTTATGCTCAACAAGGATGCATTTATTTTATTATTATATATTATTTTTATTAACATTTAAAATACCTATCTTTTCTGTTGTAATGTATTTTAAAATGTAATTTACTCCTGTGATAGACTATTCAGCAACCTTAACTCCAGTATTCAGAGTCAAATAATTCTAATATGCTAAAATGGTGCTCAATAACCATTTCTTATTTTTTATCACTGTTGAAAACAGTTGTGCTGCTTCATATATTTTTGAAACCATGAAATACTACCATTCAAAAGTTTTGGGTAAGCACAGTAAAAAAAAAAAAAACTATTATATTTATTCAGCAGGAATGCGTTTAATTTATCAAAATTGACATTAAAGACATTTATAATGTTACAAAAGATTTCTGTTTGAAATAAATTAATATATTCATCAAAGAATCTGGAAAGAAAAATGTATTTCGGTTCCCACAAAATTGTATGGAGTAAAAACTGTTTTCAACCGATAATAAGAAATGTTAACCACATTGAAAATATATTTGTCACCTTTTCAGGCCAAAGACATGGTGATTTCCTTACCTGAGAAATACTTACTGACATCCAGCACAGTGATGAAGAGTTACATGGGTGACTATATAAAAAGGTATTTTTTGGACTGATCGTTATTTCACCCCAAAACCATATATATGTATATATATATATATAATATTAATTACATTTAAAAAACGAATCCCTTTTTAGGAGGACCATGTAAGATTTTCTGTGCACCCAAATATTTTCTCTTTCTAACTGTAGATGGCATCCTCCCATATCTCCTCTTCTGGCTCTGTGTTGTTTCCTCATTGCTGAGAGACATCGTGGAGATGCATCAGAGTGGAGTCCCTACATTAATATCCTCCCAAAGACCTACACGTGCCCTGTGTACTTGTCTGATGACATCATTGGCCTTTTGCCTAAGACTCTCCAGAAAAAAGCTACAGAGCAGAAAGAACAGTGTCAGGAACTCTGCTGCTCTTCCCTGATGTTTTTTAACTCCCTCCAGCCACTCTTCAACCAGCCCACAGAGGAGTTGTTTACCCAGGATGCAATGCGGTGGGCTTGGTGTAGCGTTAACACGCGTACGGTGTACATGGAGCATGATCGGAGCAACTATCTCTCCAGTGAGAAAGATGTTTATGCACTTGCACCGTACCTTGACCTGCTGAACCACTGTCCTAATGTCCAAGTAAGAGCATCTAACAGAAATACACTACTGTTCAAAAGTTTGGGGTCCGTAAGATTGAAATAAGTCCAAGGCTGCATTTAATTGATAATTTTAAAATGACTTTTTTTTCTATTTGAATATATTGTCAAATGTAATTTATTCCTGATCAAATATTCAGCATCATCACTCCAGTCTTTAGTGTCACATGATCCTTCAGAAATCATTCTGATATGCTGATTTGATGCTCAAGAAACATTTCTTAGTATTATCAATGTCGCAAACAGTTGTGCAATATCTTGGTGGAAACCGTGATACATTTCTCTCAGGATTCTTTGATAACTAGACGGTTTAAAAAAAAAAAAAACAGCATTTATTTGAAATCTTTTGTAACTTTATAAATGTCTTTACTGTCACTTTTGATCAATTTAATACTGTATCATTTACATTTTTAAACATTTTACTCACCCCGAAACTTCTGAATGGTAGTGCAATTTCTTACAAAACAATAAAGTTGCATGGCTATATAAGTAAGGAGAATTATTAACTTTCCCTGGTGTGTAGGTTGAAGCTGGCTTTAACAAAGACACTTGCTGCTACGAGGTTAAAAGTGTCCAAGGCTGTAAGAAGTTCCAGCAAGCATTCATCAATTACGGTCCTCATGATAATCACAGACTGCTTTTGGAATATGGCTTTGTTGCTCCTGGCAACCCCCACAGCGTAGTATATGTTGATTTAGGTAAGCATACTTTTCATACTGAAATATTACATTTTCTGAACCTGTATCAATCACTATTTGTTGTTATTGTAGGAACTTTAAAGTTGTGTCTAAATGAAAGAGACAAACAGCTAACACAAAAACTACTCTACCTGAAGGACAATGCTTTTTTAAGGTAAGTAACAGATATATTATGCCAATAACAATCATATGTGACATTTTTGGGTATCATGGTTTCCACAAAACTATTAAGCACACCTTTTTTTAAAGGTCCGCTTCACATGTAACATTTGGTCTTCTAGCAGTTAAAGGGTTAGTTCACCCAAAAATGAAAATGATGTCATTAATGACTCACCCTCATGTCGTTCCAAGTCCGTAAGACCTCCGTTCATCTTCGGAACACAGTTTAAGATATTTTAGATTTAGTCAGAGAGTTTTCTGTCCCTCCATTGAAAATGTATACACGGTATACTGTCCTTGTCCAGAAAGGAAATAAAGACATCATCAAAGTAGTCCATGTGACATCAGTGGGTTAGTTAGAATGTTTTGAAGCATGGAAAATACATTTTGGTCCAAAAATAACCAAAACTACGACTTTATTCAGCATTGTATTCTCTTCCGGTTCTGTTGTGGATCATTAATGACATAATTTTCATTTTGGGGTGAACTAACCCTTTAAAAACAAATCTTCATGCATTTTGCAGAATAACATTGTTCTGGTTGTGCTTCGGTTCTGTGTGACTGTGCGGATGAATATGGTTATCCTACTGCTCATAAAACATTTACTACTAGGCTTACGCGATATAACTAGTTTAGGTGGAAAGGGTCTCAAGCTGACTAGCTGAAGACGTTACTGTTGCTATACACTTTAATAGACACGGTACTTCCTTGAAAATAAATTCCAGCACAGCACTACAGCAACCATAATGAAATGACCCTTCACAAATATAATGTTTTACAATAACTCTCTATTAGAGAGTTACATATGGCGATTTACTTGTTCAATAAAATACCTTACTCACCCATCGAGTAATAAAAATGGCATCTCGTCGCTTTTACAACAATTCAAATCCCTCAGTTCTCGCCATCTCTGAAAAGCCAAGCTAATGTTGATGATTCTCATTTTATTTCGAGCTGTCACGTCCTCTTTTTGCAAGCAGATGCTCTGTTCTGTTGTTTTTTTTAACGGGTGATTCACCGGAGGTTTGATATTTTTCGTGCTTCGTGTCAACCTTTCTTGCTTGTTGAGACAACTAACCTTTGCCTTTTTTTTTTAATAGCTTGCAAGGAATACAGCATAAAACGGCCACATTATTGTTCTTACAGTTTGATGTATAACTGTGTAATGTTGCAGTTCTTGAAGGGTGTTAATTTCAAACTCTGACTTAAATTCATGATCTTAGGGACATTTAGCAGTTCTAATAAATTCTGTTGTGTCATTATGTGTTCATTATGACAGTGGCCTGTTCTTACTGTACAATAACTGTATAGAACAGCTAATTCAGTTCCCATATGTTCTCACTTTTCAGAAACTTGACATTTGGGATGGATGGCCCTTCCTGGCGACTGATGACTGCACTGAGACTGCTGTCCTTGACACCTGAGCAATAGTGAGAAGTTATCATCCTAAACACATGACATCATGACTTTGCGTAAACATACACGCCACTTTCAAGTCAAGTGGCGTGTTATCTATACGCATTTTGAGCTATCCGCGTGTATGTCCACGCCGAAATCTTTTGCGTGTATGTCTACGCCATTAAATGTCCGAGTGATTCCGCGTGTATGTGTACGCCGTTAAATGTCCGAGCGAAACGAAGCAAAATCTATATCTACATCTGTGGAGCGATATTTCTTTTCCTAGGATGGTAGGAGAAGACTCATAAATGGTATTAACCCCAGTGACGGGTAGGTTTAGGGACGGGGTTGGGGTAGGTCATATATCTATATATACATAATACAGTAATATAACGTTAAGTCAAAGGCGTTGATAAATACGCTGAAAAGCGATTATGCGTGTTGATAGCACGCCAAAAATGGAAATACGAATTGGCGTGTCATACATACGCCATTTCATGAGATCAGTCTGATCCTAAACACATTATTCGTATGAGTGGAAATTTGACTGTGTGAGTGTGTGATAATGCAAAATACATGCCACAGTCTTGTCATTGTTATTGCTTTTACTTGCATACATTTTATTTCATGACAATTATTTGAATACATTCAAAGCTGACTTAATGCTGTTGTCTGCAGTAGTAGTTGGAAGAGTGTCCTCTTGGGGGCAGGAGTGAGCCGGGATAGGGAAGAGTGGTGCATTCAGTCTGCCCTAAAGCTTTGCAATAACCTCACTGATGGCAATGTCAAAGCACTAGAGAGGGTGAGTCTAATTATAATCTATTCATTCTTAATGCTGCCTGTGTCTAATTAAAGATATGAAACCACTTACAGCCCAAGTCTTTTCATTTTTCTACAGCTATCGCAGCTCAAACAGGGTGCAAACCTGTCTCGCCTTGAACAACTGTGTGTGGTGGAGAGCCTGAGACTAGAGGAGCAAAGGATTCTGGAACACACACAAGTGGTTCTTCAAAACCTCCTGAGACAATAGTCACTGTGGTAACAGTAGGGCATTCCTCATGCTGTCACTGCCAAGATTTTAAACGCAAGCCAAGACTGAGTACAGAACCAACAGATCCGGTTAACCATTGTACTACAGCCCTTAACCCAATCACCTCCAATGCTACGGGAAATATGGAGTCCAAAATACTTCACCCAAAACTAAACGCTCAAACCTGCATGTCTTCCTTTTTTTTCTGAGGAACTCGAAAGGAAACATTTTTAAGAATGTTCAAGCTGCTCTTTTCTACCGTTGTAGATATCTTAATTTTGTCCGAAAAGAACAATGCTCATTTTCACTGCATGGAAATGATCTGCGTGAACATTTTAGTAACATCTAGTGAGTACAACTTTTTCCTGTGTGACAATTTTGATAATCATGGTGGACAGGAAGACATGGGGACATTTAGGACAATGAGATCTTAACAAATACCAATCTTCTATTGAAAGCAAATGAGCTGCATGCTGAGTTTTTGATAGAAGACCACTGATAATCAAATGCATACCTCTGAACAATGATGCCGGATTCTAGGTCAGCGTTATCTGTCCTTTTCCACACAAAGCTGCCCATATTAATGGGCAAGAGAAATGGGATCAGATGGTGGCGTTAATAATCCATTGGGAATGCTTGAGAAGGGGAGAATCGCATCTAAAGTATGTCATAACTAGGCCAAAGTTCCTAGCCAAAATATTTCACGAAATACCAATTTCAAATGTTTTTTTTTTATATATAATTTTTTTTTTTTTTTGCTTTGTGATGCATCTATTGTTTTGGAAAAAAAGGAGCTTGATTTCCATTTAAAGAATTTTTATGTGTTTACAATTAAAAGTGCAACTGACAACATGAGATTAATAACAACAACGACTACAATTTACAGAATTATGGAGAAAAAAAAAATCAAAGCTTAACAACTATTCTCTTCCTTGTTTGCTTTCTCTGCACCATCTCCATGGAGACCGTGGCTTCATATAAAGGCACAGGTTGCTCCAACTGCGGCCTGCGCAGAGACAACAGTCAAACTCAACACCATTCACAATTACAAAGATGATTTCACACTTTTCCTCTGCATTACAGACACAGTCCACATTCAGTTTAAAGTTAATAATTTCTCCTGTACAGACTCTCATTCACTCTCACTCTCATTCTTTTTGCTCCTTTCACACACTTGTTTATTCCTCATTCTCACCTGAAAGTGCCTGTGCTTAGTTTATCCATCACATCTTTCAAGATATCTGAGAGAGAGCAGACTAAAGGCGAATAACCCAGTTACAGACCGGAAAACCATGTGCCTTGTATGTTGTTGAAAAGATCGTTCCAGTAGCCTGAGGACACTGGGAGAAAACCCTCAGGTCTCAAATATATCAAATTGGCATGGACAAGCCATATGCACACTGAGGAACCCAATGACCTCATTGCAACATATAGCGATAAAAAAAAAAATGTCTGATACAATCTAGTCAGATCTCTTTTCTTCATTCCACTTGAGAGTAAAATATTAGTGGTTTGTCTAAAGAATAAAGATCCTATTAGAGTCTATATTAAGGCTTCATGGCAAATAATTTACAAAAGAAAATGCATTCAAGTCACTTTGGATAAAAGCATTTGTTAAATACATAAACTTGAGCTAAATCTCTTAAACATAGGCTGCATTTACATTACATGGTTCAAGTGACCCAATACCAATTTTTCCCTCCTATGTGGCACAGATCAGATATGACCCACGAACGTGTAAGGAAAAAAATCACATGGATTCTGATATTCTCAGATCGGTTTAGGCCTCAGTCATATAAATCTGATATTAATCAGAAATGGGGATTTCGTTCTACCATGTAAGCGGACAGATCGGATATTCCCATCAATGCGAGTCGTACGTCATTGAAAGCAAAAGCTTGTATTACGCGTCCATTGCAAATCGCACCATTTTTACTTCCTTTTAGATCTAAGCTCCACCGGGTCGGTACGTCTACCATGGGTTGTATCTCCAAGTGTACGAATAGTGTAAATGCAGATATCGGATATGGGTATCTTTTAAAAGATGATGTAAGTTGGTCTTCAAAATAATCGGATATAGTCAACGAATCGGAATTGGGCATAAAGACCTGCTGTGTAAATGCGGCCATAGAGTATTTTACTTTTCAATGCTGATAAACAAAGCAGAGGCCTGAATGCTTTGTGATATAACTCAGCCAATCAAGAGGCAGTGTTCAGTTGCAGATTAATAAAGTTTGTAGTAAAAGATACGAAGATATCGGCCGTGCTTGGCACGGGATGTTGTCCACACCTCATCATTAAGGAACGAGAGAGACGCTGCCTTCAGGAAGAGAATGTGGCTGTCAGGAGGATCCAGCTTGGAAAAGAGGATAATAAGGACTTTATTAAGTGTATCTAAACCTGCTGCGAGTCAATCAATATTTGATGTATAAAATAAAGACAAAATGCTGAATCTCAGGAATGCAGATCTCAAGTATATTGAAGAGAACGGGAGCTACTAACCTGTAAGTGTTGTTCTGTGGTGACCCAATGACCTCCGACCGAAAGAAGGGTAAGGAGGTCATGTTTATGTGGGCGATGCCTCTGGGTTTCTGCCTCCTCCTCGTAGAGTCTCACTGTTCAAGAAAGGCTCAAAATCATACACTGCTAATTGAAACTGAACTATGTGAAAATGAACATGACATTGAAAATGTAAATGTACACTACCATTCAAAGGTTTGAGGGTCACGTACGATTATTTTTAAAGAAAACCTTTATTCAGCAAGGACACATTAAATAGAGCAAAAGTGATACTAAAGTCTTTTACATTTACAATTATTCTGTAAAGTGGATCACAGTTTCCACAAAAATATCAAGCATAACTGTTTTCAACCTAATAATAACAACAAATGTTTCTTGAGCACCAAAACAGCATATTAAAATAATTTCTGAAGGATCATGTGACACTAAAGACGAGCAAAGAATTATGCTTTGCCGTCAGAGGAATAAATCACATTTCAAAATATACAAATAGAAAACGGTTATTTTACAATGTAAAAATATTTCACAATCTTGCTGTTTTTACTGTATTTTTTTTTTTCACAAAAGAAATGCTGCCTTGTTGAGCATAGACTTCTTTAAAAAAAATGGTAGTGTAAAATAAATTACATTTTGCAACACAAATGCTTGTAGGACTCAAAGTCAGTATTTATATAATTAATTAAAACCAGATATGAGAAGACTACGTTGAAATGGTTAGAAATGTCATATAAAGTAGCCGTAAACCTCCTGAATCAATGATGATGTCCACTCCAAGACCTCCAGTTTCTTCAAGACACGAGTCCACCAAGTTCTCCTTTGAGTCCCACACTCTGATCACTCGAGCTGAAGGAAGAGATATACATTTCAGTACTGATGCTAAAAAAAATCATCTAACTAACATCAACGAAGCATTTAAAATACTTGTACATAGTGTCAATCAAAGAATATGTTAGTGTGAATAGATATATACCTATAGAAGAGATTTCTGCCATACGCAACTTACCCAAAAGTGATTCCTGCACACCTTGAGCAAGTGCAAACAGCAGGAAGAAACAATATGAAGAAAGTCACATGGTGAAGAAAGACAAAGAAATGCTCAAGGTAGAAGTGAGAAGATAAAGAGAGGCACTTTCAGAAAAGTTTTGACTATCAATGTGAGTAAGTTTAAAGAAAGAAAAATCTAGGACAAATGAAATCTGTTTTGATTTTCAGAGGAACAGAGAAGAAAGCAAGAATCTTTGAACTGCCAGCATTACAGCACATCTTTGAAATATGAGAACATGCCCTCTGCAACAATCAAAACTTATAGATTTCAACATTTGATTAGACTTTGGTAGATTTGAGACTTTTACATAAAATGTGATGATGATTGATGATGATTCATATGCTCATGAAATGAGAACACAATCTAAATACAAGAGAACAGAAAACTTTACAAGAAATAACAACTAGAGATTTAAAAAAAGATTTGCCTCATTTCACTCCCCAGCCTGACATTTCAGTTTGTCTGGTGTTTATCTGGGATTTCAGAACAACTCATGCCAAGTTTTTTCAAGAATTCAAATTTCCAGTGAAGTGGCAAGTCAAACAAAGCTTGGACTCCCTCCTAAACTGACACTTCATTGAGAAAATATCTTGGCTGTCATTCCTCTCCACAATGCACACTTCAGTACCCACCCACACTCGGTCGGAGCTCTTCCAAAAACTTCTGGTCGTCCGGAGACAAAGCTGTAGCCAAGACTTTCACACCGTGATAGTGGGCGAGCTGAATGGCCAGAACTCCAAAGGGCTGCATGCACACAAAACAGGAAGTACGATAATGAATTTAGACATCGAATGCAGGGCGCCAAACAATGGTTATAGATCTGCTGTGCTGATTCTGATATGAGAAGACCACTAAATGATAACCACAAGAATCCTTTTTTTTTTTTTTTATCAATATATGACTAAATTCACTCAACATTGATACAGTATCGTTCAAGAGTTTGGGGTCAGTAAGATATATATAAATAAATAAATTATTTATTAATTATTTTTTTAAATAAATTAATACGTTTATTCAGTAAGGACACATTAAATTATTCAAGTGACAGTAAAGACATTTAGGCCCAGTTCACAGACAGGGCTTAGATTAGACCAGGATTAGGCCTTAGTTTAAATAGAACATTTATAAACTAAGGAAAAAAACATAAATGGTGTGCATCTTGAGACAAAACAATGTTACTATTTTAAGGTATTAATATTAAGGTATTAGTCCAAGTTACTTTCAGTTAAAACAGCTCAAACATGCATTTTAGTCTGGGACTAGAGTTAAACCTTGTCTGTGAAACCGATATAGTGTTACAAAATATTTCTATTCCAAATAAATGCTGTTCTTTGGGACTTTCTATAAATCAAAGAATGCATCACAGTTTCCAAGATATTTTAAGCAGCACAACCGTTTTCAACATTGATAATATAATAGTAAGAAATGTTTCTTGAGCAGCAAATCCGCATATCAGAATGATTTCTGAAGGATCATGTGACACTGAAGACTGGAATAATGATGCTGAAAATTCAGCTTCGACATCACAGGAATAAATTATTATTTTAAAATATATTACAATAGAAAATAGTTATTTAAAATGGTAATAATGTGTCACAATCTAACTGTTTTTATTGTATTTTTTTAAAGCCTAGCCTTGGTGAGCATAAGAAATTTCCGAACCCAAACTTATACTAAAACTAATAGGAATCATCAGGAAGGTGGCCTCTGCACAGATACCTACACCAGCCCCATCCAGCACTAGTACAGTCTGACCCACAGCCATCCGAGCCAGAGTATGGAGAGCAGTGTAGGCCCTGAGACCGTCTTTAATGACCGCTGCTGCTTCAAACCAGCTCACTTTCTCAGGCTTCTGAACTGTTAGCATTTGGGAAAACAAAAAGCACATTGTCAGAAAAGCAGTGTATCTTTAAGGAACTAGGTAGGATTGTAATGCGAACAACAATACCTAAATTATATTCATCAATAAGCACTACGGAACAAAGCCCAGACTGCTCAGCATCCACAGGGAGAATTCCTGAGAAGACATGCAAATGTTTATTTGATTATATACATATAGAGCAGACTCTAATAAAAAAGAGAGTCTAATAAAGTTCTTACCAACAACCTCATCATCTGGCTGGAAAAACGTCACTTTGGGTCCAACTGGAAAAGGATATGCATCGCATTAGATTTATCAGTCAAGTTTATTTGGTTAGTAATCAGCAGTAAAAGGTAATGGCGTCAAATACACAAGAAGTCATGCAAACCTTGTAGAACAACCCCAGTGATCTCCCTTCCAACTGGGATATGCTCGCTCTCAAGCCTGAGGTCCTCGTACATCTGAAAAACAGATTAAGAGATGAATGCAAATATTCATAAAAAATAAAATTTCTGTGAAATGAGGGCTAAATAATGTTCATCATGTTTTGTAAACATTTTGAAGTTTGCGCCTCCAGACAATCACATTAAATCACTGTACGTCGTCGTTCAAGATCTTGTAGACATGGTGAAAAATCACATTACCTTAAAATCAACCGGACTAAGTGCACATATTTTTACTTGAACTTTGACCTGATGGCTGCCAATGTTAGTGGGTGCATTCTATGAAAAAAAAAAAGCAAAGGATGTCAGACAATTTCAAATGCCTTTTTACAGATTTTGGATATGTAAACCCATGCATTTTCAGGCACTCTCACCGTCTCCTGTATGACAAACTTCACATCACCCTGGTCTCCACCTGGTTTGCAGTAAAGTCCCTTCATGACAATTCTAGCTGTTCTGGAATAATAATAACAGTCAATAAAAATAATAGAATAAGAATAACACAAGCAATAACAACAAGCTGATTGAAATGCTGTATAAACATGTTATTGTAATAGTATGAAATACAGAACGATCTCGACAGAAATTCATCACATTTACTGCATGTGCAATCTCTTTTGCACTTGAACTGCAAGTTAAATGATGAAATCCAATTTATGCAGAATACCTTACTCTTGCTTACTAGCTGCTTCTTTTCCTTTGCATAACCCTTTATGTCTCGCGTGTCGTTTAAAAGCATCAAAATTGGTGATATAATGTCCGCTTATGTTACGCTATGTAATATTTTTGCAGGTAAGAGTATTATAGAAGCTACTAACATGTAGTTGACTGCGGTAGTGTTTTGTTCATTTCCTTCACGTGACTCGTCACACGTGACGTAGTGGAGTAGAAGCATAAACACAGAGAAAGGAAACGCAAACAGCTCACATGTATGAGGGATTATGTTAGATAACCGCATATTTGAACTAAATAAATGTCCTCAACATAGAGACCGACGTAACGTGACTCTAAATACAATCAATGTAGCAGTTTATTTTTAAAGAAATAAATAATGTAATAAATCAGCCATGTCTGATTCGTCCACGAATCGTCATTTATAAATGAATCGGTTGAATCGATTCGCAAATAGATCTGAACGATTCGTTCACGAGGCGGTTCCCAAGTCGAGTTTGGGACCGATTCGTAACAAACCGACAATTAACTGATAGAAAGAGCAGTGCACACACCGTATATTAGAAAAATTACAAATAAAAAAAATGTGTGTCAATGGAAACGAGTCGGACTTTCCCATTTCCATCCCACTAATTACATCTAACATATATTGAAATGTATGTAATGTAATATTTATAGATTAAAACGATATAATAAACGTCTGTAAATACATTAAACATAAATAAATTTAAGATAGATCACAACAGATTTCCTCTAGTCGTTCTTGGTGAATGAATTCGTTTGGGCCACAGTGCGCCCTCTGTCGTCATTATACGCACACACACCGATGCTTGAATGACGTCCGCGAGGTTTCATTTTTCCCCCTTTTTACTTCACTACTGGCGAAGCTGTGCGGAGGAAACGAGGAGCCAGAAGGAGCAGCGAAATAAGCCTGGAATTTATCTCGCTCATTTTAAACAAGGAAAGAAGAGCCCGCCGCCTGTCATCCCATGCTCCTGTAGTTTATTCCCTCACAGAGAGTGTTGGAGATATAATGGAAACTGAATGATGAGGTAAGAGTGTTTGTGTGTGTCAGGCCGATTGTCCTTTTTTGACAGTGACTGTGTCCGCTGCGCGAGCGAGCTATCCACAGCATTTCAGCGCGCGCTTTCGTGCGAATTTAGTCGCTCGCGAGAGGCATTGCTCACTCTCAACGGTTATTTCAGCCCACGCTGCCCACGAACACTAATACTACTCTCCCCAAGTCGTTTATTCATAGAAATAGGCCTATGTATGCTCCCTCTCCGCGCAGAGATTGCAGCTAAAGCTCAGCTCTGATTTAACGTTACTGGTTTAGTTAGCACACCGGCTAACGGCTGCTGGTGTGATATTATCAGTGACAGCAGCTCGAAAACTGAGGGTTTCTGTGGTAAAACCCATGGATAACAGTGGGCTATTCGGACCATGAGAGTGCTGAGGTGATGTGTGTTATATGTAGGATGTTGTGACAATGAGTTTAGTCAATGTGCTGGTGTTGCTGAATAATGAAGAACAGCTCATCTCCACACATGGCTGCAGGTCTCATCTCTACACATGGATATCCATCCATCTCTTCTCCAATGCAGTCAATACACATGTTGAGTACATGCTGGCCAGGAGAAACACAAGTTTATCCTGTGATTATGTCTGAAGGAAGGTGATTAACTTAAGGCTCAGATCCTGTAGTGCTGGCTGGCCGTGGATTTGGATGCTTTGTCTTAAAGCCACTATCATGTATAGTATGTAAACACTGTCAGATTGGACTGGAGGTAGGTTTATGAGATCTTATGAGAAATGCAGCTGGAGCCTTTTTGGCCCGGGGCAGTATGGTCGTAAACCTGGTCAGGTTCTGGTTTATAGAGGCACTCCTTGATCGCAGGACTAAAGTGGAAAACCTGCGGCACTGAGTAATGCCTCAAAAATGTGACCTCAGACTGATTGAAGAGCAGATCTTCCCAAATTTTCCCAGATTGTGGTGTCCAAGCATAAACATTTGAACCATTATTGATTGAAATATCAGTTAATCTGAATTTTGAGGAGGTGTTTCTATAATTGGCTGTTTGAGTGCATAATAATATTCCAATAATAATCCAAATTTGGTCATATTCTGATTTTATATAAGTTTAAAAAAATTAACCTGGTTGTCGTAATCATATTAGGCCTAAGCTTTAAATCTAACAGAAAACTGGCATATCTGTGTATTAATCAGATTTTTTTTTTAAGTAAAAAATATCCACCATAACCGAATGTCAATTTATATTTGTGTATAAATAAATCAAGGTAATTCTGGGTAATATCAGATAGTGAGAAGTTGTTTATTTGAATAACTATTATTTTAAAAGCGTTAAAAGAAGTAGCATTTATAAGAGTCTTATAAAAAAGATTTTGCAGATGAATGAAAATTAACAGGTTTATTAGACTACTGTTCAAAATGTCCAATCAAGCTAAAAGCATTTCCCTTATTACCAGATGAGATTAGAATGAAAACAGTGCACATTTTATGCCATACAGTAGTTCACAATAGACTTTGAATTCAACATATAACAAATAATAATCCCAAAATGTAAAAATATACAACCTACTCCACTTTCCTGCAACACTACACACCCGCAGTTAATGTTGTAATTTTGTTTATCGGTCACACTTCTATTGGTCACACATCTTCACCTGATATGAATTCACCAAACTTGACCATTGGAACGCAGTGAAATGCAAAACTTGCGTTTCTGTTTCCGCATTTGCATGCGTATGAATGAAATTCAATCGAACGAAAACTCTTGTGTGACCAGCTGCCTGTGTGGTTTGTTTTCCGATTTCGTTTGTACATTAATATTCCAATAAAAATTAAAATTTAATTTAGAAAATGCCCTTTAATCTGAAAGTAATGTTCATGTGAACGTGCTCAGTGTCAGTTGTGCTTCCAGCCTTGTTTAGATGAGGATAATGGAGCGTTTGAAAGCCTCTGTTTTAAGTGCAGGCTCAAGAGGAGCTTATTGTTAGGCCATTCAGTTCATGAGTCATTAGAGGCTGTTTTTTGCAACCTCAAGTTTATCCGGCCACTTTCTCTCCCTGTCTCTTCACCATCCTCTATTCCCCATCCCCCACAGGTGTACAGCAGAGATGTAGTCTGTGAGAGGGTGTGAGATAAAAGAGATCCTCATCCACTGTGCACCGCTCGATCTCAGCAGGATGGATGATAGGCCAGCGGTGTGTGTGCGTGGCTGGTCTTTTTTTGTTCACCACTGATTTACACGCTGCCCTTTTGCTGCTCACTTTGAAATTTGTTTCTCTTTGTGCGATCGTTGGCTCAGAAGCAGCTTTTTGTCTAGATAATTAGGTTAACAGGAAGAGAGCTGGACCCTCAATCCCTCACCCCAGTGCTCTGCTCCAGAAGGCCTGAATAATTTCAGTTATTCCTGCCTGCTTTTTGCTAAACAAATTAGAAATTGTGGTCTGTAAGTGTATGTGCTTTGCTGCTCAGGGGTTTTAATGTAAAGCTGTGTTTATAGCTTGTGTGTATACTTCTGTAGGGCAGGGTCTGTGATTTTTAAAATACATAATTTGTGATGAAATAATGTGCATGTCATACAACATTGTGATTACTGTCTGATTAAAGGATTAGTTCACTTTTAAAAAAACTTTTGCTGAAAATTTACTCACCCCCATGTCATCCAAGATGTCCATGTCTTTCTTTCTTCAGTCGAAAAGAAATTAATGTTTTTGATGAAAACATTCCAGGATTTTTCTCCATATAATGCACTTTGCTGGGCACCAAACGGTTCAAGGTCTAAATGACCGTTTCAGTGCAGCTTCAAAGGGCTTTAAACGATACCAGACGATGAATAAGGGTCTTATCTAGCGAAACGATCGGTCATTTCAAAAATAAATAAAAAAGTTAAAGTTTTATAGGCACAAATGCTCGCCTTGCGAACTCTCCTGTTCGAACTCGTTCATCAAAATGAACAAATCTTTTTTCGAGTCATTGACTCGTTCATCAAAATGAACGAATCTTTTTTCGAGTCATTGACTCGTTCATCAAAATGAACGAATCTTTTTTCGAGTCATTGATTCGTTCATTTTGATGAACGAGTTCGAACAGGAGAGTTCGCAAGGCGAGCATTTGTGCCTATAAAACTTTAACTTTTTTATTTATTTTTGAAATGACCGATCGTTTCGCTAGATAAGACCCTTATTCATCGTCTGGTATCGTTTAAAGCCCTTTGAAGCTGCACTGAAACGGTCATTTAGACCTTGAACCGTTTGGTGCCCAGCAAAGTGCATTATATGGAGAAAAATCCTGGAATGTTTTCATCAAAAACATTAATTTCTTTTCGACTGAAGAAAGAAAGACATGGACATCTTGGATGACATGGGGGTGAGTAAATTTTCAGCAAAAGTTTTTTTAAAAGTGAACTAACTAATCCTTTAATGTGTGTGCATTCTTGGCGAAGTCAATCTACAGTTGGATTATCGAGTAAATCAAGTCAAAATTATTTGTATAGCGCTTTTCACAATGCACATTGTTTCAGAGCAGCTTTACAGAAAATCATGATGTTTGTTGATGCTTATATCTTAATATCTTCATGCCTTATAGTCACATTCATCAGATTAGAGCCGAGCGATGATATATATTTACATTTTGTGACAATATAAGCAATCAAGCCTCTGAGATCTGCTGTATGGTGTATATATATATATCACCCGTCCCTATGATAATGATACTTTGTTTGCTGATAAAGTTGTATATACTTAAATATCCAACTTTAATATAAACATAACAATATAATATACTAGTTCATATTTTTTTCTGATATAAAGCACTTGCTTCAGTTGCTTGCTCTTTGTGCGGGTTTGCTGCATATAAATTGTTACTGACAACAATATACCTATGTTTATCCTTATTTTAATGCATATTCTGTTATTGTAGTAAACCTATATAGGTATAGATCAGCCATGAATCTTTAGTCTGGCTATTTTGTGTGTGTGTGTGTGTGTGTGTGTGTGTGTGTGTGTGTGTGTATGTGTGTGGCGTCTTGTACAGAGCAGTGACTGTCTGTAACCTTGTCTTAACATTGGACAGAAGCACAACAATACAGGCCCTCTTCCGGAAGCTGTTGTATTTAGTGTCCCGGCCGATTCTTTCTTTACCGCCTGATCCAGGTTCAGATTCTGCTCAGACGAAGCTCCATAAAATCCATTGAAGAAGTACTATTCGTTCTCACTGTTACAGCTGAGCTGTTCTGCCTACCTCAGCTGCAGAGAAAGCACTTCTGCTTCCGTGGTTATGGCCTTTCTTTAAACGCTTCAAGATGGAAGTGAATAAATGAGACCAGACTAGATTTTGGACAGTGGTTTTTGTTTTTAAACTTGAGAACAGTAAAGAGAACAGGTTGCGATACTGAGTCTTTTACTAGGCGAGCAGCGTGTTATGAAAGATCGGTTTGGGTGGTTTGCTATCAGTGATGATAAAAGCTTGAAGTTCCACTTCCATTTTAAGCTGGATTCCTCTGTGTCTGGACTGCATTAAATATGGGTGGAGTGCAGATTGTCTGTGATTTATTGAGTAGTGAGTATAACTGTTGGGGGTGTCAGTGGAACCATAAGCATCTCTGAGTCTGAAAATCATTTGAACTCTTTAAGACTGTAGTGAGACTGACTCCCACATCTCTTTCTGTCATGCCCTTAAAGCAAACCTTAAAGTGATTTGCTCTTCTCGAGTTCCTGTGCTTTCTAGTCCCGTATCAGGTATTGATGTTGACAAGGTTGAAATTGGATTAATTCAGCGACTGTTCAGGCTCAAATTTGTAGTGAAAGTGACCTGTGGGTAGAAGTTTAAATACACTGTTTCTCTCTACTTATGTTTTTCAGTCAAAGTCAAACATGGTCCAGGAAAGACTGTTGTGCTTTTGTGTGGAATGCAAACGTGTGTGTGCGTTTGGCTGACTTGTTCTCGTAGGACCCCAAGCCTTCTTGGAAGGAATGCAGACAGGAGTGCGAGTGTGATGTTGACACTATTAATACTTGCACTCCCTTT